CGACGAGTCATCGTTTTATTTCATTCATTTCAAGAAATTTGATTGTAAACTTGATAATATCAGTGCGTATTTATGAAGAAATTCCTTGAAAAGTGCACTGCTCAATAATGATATCCTTTGAGTCGTCAAAATAAAAGAGATAACTCATGAATTAAGTGGTGACAAACGGCATTTAGTTATGTCATTATTAATCGCAACAATCGCTTGCTGAACAAATAATCTCTGCATTCGTATAACACGCATGGTGAATGCAGATGCAAATGACCACTGGTAGCAGAGCATTATGCAAATACCATATCATATCCTGCTATCTCAGAGATTCTCATTGGGGTAAAATACCCTGTTTTGGGTGATTTGGGGGTGTTGGGGGTAATACAGGGGATCGGGAAATTAGGATTTTGCGCAGTTGTTGTATTATGATGGATATCGACAAGCAGATATACCCAATGCCCCATAAATATTCCTTTAGCTTTTTCAAGGTTTTTTCGGGAAGAAATGTTTCTCATCCTTCAACATATTCACAGATCAAAGTTCCCTTGTTTTCAGTTGCATTTCAAGTGAATAACTGCTAAAAACATCAGCGTATCGCTTTTTACGAAGAGAACAGCTGAAGTCAGCTCGTAATCAATCAACCGAAAATCACGCGATCCCTTCATCTCTTCTCGTTTCTCATTTACAAGTACTCGAAACACTCAACAGTTCTGAGTGACAGCTAAAAATAATTTCTCATTTACACAAAATATTTGCTTGTTTGTTTGTTTTGAGGAGAACGCATGAAAAATGAAAGAAAAAACATATTCCACATTCTACGAACTCAGTAGGCATTATTCATCTTGCTCATGCAAACAACTCAAAGCAAAACAAGGTATCTGCACGTGAAACGTACCCGACCACAGCTCACCTCCACTTCTTTTTGTGCAAATCTCAAACGCGAACTTCAACACTCTAAAAGAAAATGATCTTTTGCTCATAAATCATGAGGTAACAATGAGGATGAAACAAGTAACAGAAGGAAGTAGAGTGATAATAATTATGGCGATAATGATGATAAAAATATGTTACATAAATAATTCTATCATAACATAATAATATAAATAATAATATAATGATATAAATAATATCACTGCAATAGATTGATAATAATCAGATGATGATTGTTAATTATTACTTGGACATCGAGTGGTTGTTTTGTCAATCGCAGTGAGCGATCGGCGGAATATTTAATTTATTAGAGTAATGATCATTTGTTGACCTGGTATTTGGCTGCGTCTAATTATGCAAAGTGTTCATGGCGACTATTTATTTACTCGGTTGCGTTCGGTTGGCCTGCTCGCCTAGCCAGCGGAGTGGCGTAAATTGAGGCTAAAGCAATGCGCACGGAAACGCGAGCATTGTGGCCAGCAACGTTATTAACGTTTGATAGCCTGGCCAATCCAGGTAAATAATCAGATGATAAGAGTACTGCAAATATTACTGAAACAAAAAAATCTCCTACGGCAGCAGCATCACAGAAGAAACAGAAGGCAACACAACACAACACAACACCAAAGTAAAATGAATACTCTTTACCCAGCTTTGTAATTCTTTTAATGTAGTCATAATCGTAACAATAGTAACGCTTCAACGTTTCAATAATAATATTCTGATTTCATTTCAGTACAAGTTTTGTGAACGTATAATAAATCATTTCAGGTGAGTATTCTGAATGCTTTTTGCTCACATCTTGTCGATAAATCAACCTAGTGAATAGCTCTGCATCGAGGAACAACACAAAACTCAATCAATCCAGAGTGTTTTCCACCCCCTCAAAGCCCTAAATTTTGGGTTCGTCAAGGTCCATGGATTCACTCATCGTTTGATTTGCAGAGAAATCGAAAGTGAGCAAATAAGATTTCGACGGCTTAGGCTTCATGATGTTCAATCGACAACAATGAATGAAGCTCAATTCGCGAAGAAACAAAAAATTTGAATTTCGATCTGATAAAGTTAATAACATTTCAACGTTCCAACGAGCACAATTGCAAAGAAAAAATTCAACAACTCAGCGAATGAAAATTTTGTGAATACTCACCAAAAATGCAATACAAACATGTATAACTTAAGTGAGATGGAAAGAAACGACTTTATCACAAGCAAATTATCATATCAAATGATAAAATCCAGTCATGTCTTGAGAGATCCGAATCTGTGACGAGTGGATTGATATTCAGCTGACTGATAACCAGTGATAAAGGCGTCATCCTAAAATAATTTTTTCCCATCATAAATTTTCATTTTTCAAAATTTTCATAAGCGCTAAACGCCTCAGTTTTCATAAGCATTTTCTCTTCAGTACCATTCTAGTAGTGATTAAATTTCTCTTTAAAACATCTCGAGGATTGTTCTTCACCAAACACAATGTGTTTTCCGAATTGCACACGAAAATAATAAAGCAACGACATCCAACTAACCATGTGCACAATTTGAGCATTTCGCCTGGTTGCTGTGAGCAAGTTGTTGTGGTGCTTTTGATGGAACTGATCATCGCATAACAATATAATAACAACGACAACATACAATAATAATAGTGATTCTTCTTTATGAATCAAATCAAATCGATCTCTCGTAACAACTTCAGTCAAATCATCACTACCAATATGCAGTGCAACGATGACGACGGAAAGAATGACGACAGAAAGATAGATAGACGGATGGATGGATTTTTGGATGGTGACTGTATTTGCACACAATCATCGTTACTTTGCGATGTTCAGTGACACAAAATTTACGAAAATATTTCAACTCATCCCACCAAAAACTTGGAAATTGCAATAAAAAAAGCCGATAGAAATTCGGAAGTGGCAAAGAGGAAAACTTAACTGATACCTATAAAAATTCTGACAAAAATTATAAACTTCAAATTTCATTGTAAACGCACAAAAATTGACTTCGAATGTCGATTGGAATTGTACTCACTCAAATAAATCACGTCAATTACTTCAAAAAACCAGTTTCCATTAAACAACTCAGCCAAACTTCACTTCTACCATATAATCACCTCGATTCGACAGTTTTCCCATTAATTGGAAATACAATTTTCTGCTTATTTTCACTGCCTTTTGAAAATTATACACAAAGAATAAAGCAAAGCGAAATTTATGAATTTGAGGGAGAAGTTAGAAGTTAAAAGCATTGAAAATTTGTGCAAAAAAATGTCTCGAAAGGTGTGTCTCAATTCCCATAAATATTCGACGAATCAAAACAACACAGAAACAAATGGAAAACGACGACAACGAATCTGATCGAAGATGAATCAAATAATTCATTTCATAACATATCTTTTCATATCATTAAACAAGCATCAAATAAATCTATGATTTCGGAGCAGATTCTGAAGATCATAACTACACGTGTTATCTTTTTTGTTCGCGGTGAATCTCGAAACTTTTCCGAATCCAAAGAATGAAATTTCCAAAAAGAAAAAAAGTTGTGAAAATGGCATAAAATTAGAAAAACAAAAGTAGAAAAGTTTCGAGCCCGCTCGTTACTTCATAAACAAATTTCTTCAAAAAAAAGGAAAAATTCGAAAGGAAAAACTTCGGAAACATAAATCGGAACTCAAAAAAGGATAAAGAAAAGATCATTTATAAAAATAATTGAGGTGCTGCCAAATCATATCATATTTGTAGAGATTTCAAAGTAATGAAAGAAACGAAAATCATCAACAAGAAATCGATCTAACAAGAAAATCATCAAGAAAAAGAGCGAAAGGATGAAGAAACAGACAAAGGAAGAGTTATATAAATCAAAATAATTTATTGAACGGCAATCGATCATAAACAAATCTACGCAATACTCTCCATTTACGTTTGTGCGTCCGTTATCAGTTATTTCCACCTAAAACAAAACTTTTTTCTCTTCAAAATCAATTCATAAAAATCATCCTCACTCAATCGTAATTCTCAACGAAGTGTTCAACGAGAATATGAAAAATTCATAACGATAAAATAATATTCACTATCACATCTAAACGAAGTCAAAAAGGCACAAAATAATCGTAACGCCCACCAACCATTCGGATGACTAGATTGATAAGAAGCATTCTGTTGCGCGGCCGCAGCAGCATTATTCAACGAGTTCTGACGTACCAACGATGCTGCTACAACTGCCGCTTGTTGCTGTTGAAATATCGCTGCACTTTGCTGCGCTGAACAAAACTTTCAATTCATTTTCACTTTACCACAAAATGTCAACCATCCAAAATTTACTAAACGATAAAATCTGACGTTCCATGAAAGGAATGTCAAAAGATGAGAACGCAAGCAAGCTACACTACTCAACAACTCACGATGAACGAACTGCTGCAGTTGGTGTTGTTGTTCCGAGGTGATCGCATACGACTGCGGTGCTGCTGTGCCTCCACTCGAATTCATTTGACTGTGTGACTGTTGTTGATCCATGCTACCGTTATTATTCACCTGCAATTCACCAATCAAACCATTGCATACACAAACCTTCTCTGAACCACCAAATCGTACAAATCATAAAATATACCTGTGGATGACCATGATGTCCCGTTTGATTCTGAGAATGTGGATTAGTCTGTAATGCGGATGGGTGTGGGTGCATCTGCATCATCGACTGATGCCCTCCAGCTCCTGTATACACCACATAACTACCAGCCGTTTGCGCGGCTGAGAAGATCGGAAATTGCTGCAAATGATCACTTGAACACTGAACATTTCCTCTGTCCAACGATAAATCATCATCCCATCGAGTAGTGAGACGATAAAACAGCTGGCAATAACCACACTGACAATCAGTCATTTGAGGCATACAACCCAACGAACATGTATTAATGAACATTTTCATCTAATCATCAAATCGCATATCGTCATCACATCACCATTATATCACAAGTAATATATCCATCTCTCTTGCATTCCTCTCA